TGGAAGTTTCGGTGAGGCGTCGAGTCGTGGCAGATTATGATAAAAAATGATATCGGTTCAAACCGGGATCGAGGCGAGTTTTTGCTGGGCGAGATTGGGGGATGGCTAAAGGTGGCAAAATATCGGCAGGTCGGCGCGGCGCAAGTGATTCGTGTGATTGCGCCGCTAGGTGTGGGGCAATTGCGGCCGATTTAGATGCCGCGCCCCGATAGCGGCGGGCGCGATAATATAAATTGGATGGTACGCCCTGGATATTTATCAGCTTTGCGCGCAACACCGTCGACAATAGGGGGGTTGGCATTCGCATCAAACGACACCCGAAATACCATATAAACAACTTGCAACGACTGGAAAAACTGACGAGTGAACATGTGCATTACATGTTTAACATTCACATAAACAACAATTAAAAAAAAACAAAAAATTAAAAATTGAATTTTTTTATTGTAATTTGAATAGCAAATACTGAAACCTTGTATGGTAGATATCCAAGGATCAATGCGATTATGAGCTTTTGTTTCATCAACATCGAAACGCGACTAATGCTATTAACACGTATTTTCCTTGCTTCCCTTTCGTTTAACCAGCACTAGTGTTAACCACTCTTCATCAATTAAAAATGTCTGAACACAGTCGCAACACTAATGTGTTATTTTATCCGGATCATTGTGATGTCCTATATAGTTCACCGACTCATTTACTAACTATTATACATTATACCTGTTTTTGTTGCGTAAACAACAGTGACAATGTAATATTCAAAAATTTTGAAACCGGCTAGTTTAATCCCCGAATGGGCTTACACCAACCACCACTTTATTTAAGTGGATTAATGACACATTTAGGTGTTTCGATGTAATTTGTATCCTGTTCGAGTATAGTCATGGTTACGTTTTGTTCAAAACCACCACAAAAATACCAAAATATAGTTTTTTATTGTTCCAACAAACACTTTACACAAAACATAACCTAACTTGCTGAATAACACCGCATACATTAAATAATAATATTTGCATTTACACTTTGCATATGAAAGTAACCAGAATTTAATTCATACAACACAGAATCTTGCAGTGGACACACGAGTGGTGTGAAACTGTGAAGACACCCGCACTCAAAGTGCTGGTTGTAAATCACACCGGAATTTACGACCTTTCGCGGTTGATATTAAGTCGGAAAGCCAGAAAGTGAACGCATTTAAATCAGTTGGAAACACTTATGTTTATGTTTAACTGTTTTGCATTTTGGAAGGCCCCAAACTTACTTAACATGACATTAAAGTTTTAGTTCTATATAAATATTCTATTTGGGTGATATATACTTGTTTTGCTTTATGTCAAGTCATGAGTTTTAAACATTTCAACGCCATCTAGAAATTCAGCACATTTAACATGTGCAGTCACATTTGGGTCGCGATAAACTCGCTTGCGCCTCACAATTTCAGCGCACGACACATCATATAATATTTGCCGATCGCGCATTCTTTGATACATTTGATACACTCCGGGAGGTCGAATACCCATCCCCATGCCGACTCGTTATGCGTCAGCGTCATTTTTTCCCCCAGCGACACGGATATTTCCATTTAACAATGGCAATCCGCCATGTAAACCCATGAAAACTGCACGTCCGACAGTTTTATTTAGTTGATTCCGTGATAAAAATCGAATAAATAAATATACACATTCTACAAAAAATATTTCATTTAAATATCGTATTGTATTCAATTCTCTTATTTTTAGGTTAGAATTTTTGTTTTGGTTTGAGGTTTGACGCACAGGTTATGGGCGTTGTTGAGGCACGCATTGAGATATAATCTTAATCGAGATACACTTCGTTACACATGTAGCACTGGCAATTTCTTTTTACGTTTCGTTTGTTTTCTGTTTTCTGCGTTGGTATTTCTTTTGGCGTGTTCGGGTAACGAAAGAGGGTGATATTGAGTAGGAGGGTGGGTTCGTGTTGGCGTGCCGATTGGATGTTAGAACGCCGTCCTTGGCCATTAACGGACAGATAGACGCTTCGCATGGAAATGCGTTTACTTGAAAAATTGTAAAGCACGTTTCTAATTAAGCTTCGGCGATTTTCCCCGGAGACATTTTCTTATTTAAAAAAGAAGCCAACAGCTTAGAACCTTTTAAATTTTTAGTTACTTTTTCCTTCGCAATCGATATATTTACGTGTCGATAAGTCGAGCCCGAACGGATATTAAATTAGCCGCAGCGTATTTCACCACCCGAAAATGGCGCCCACGATTGACCGACCTAGTGCGGAGGGTCGTTGCGCTCAACTGCACATTCCTCAATAAAGAATTACTCCGAGGTCGGCGGAGGAAAACCGCGCGCACGCCTGATTTGTTACGTTGTTACAAATACCCGATGTAATTAAAGTTGTTTACAGCCGTTTCAATCAACGCGACTTTTCTGACTTCTTGGCGTTTTCCAAGCGAAGCAAAAATACGACGGGCAGAAAAATTTCGAGCCATAAAATTCCAGAAAGTAGATTTTACGTTTAGCAATTTTGCAAGGTTTCAGGTGTTTTCCGTTGAATTCTAGTCATTGTGCTGTTGATTATTTACTTTTCTTTATTCGTTGTTTTGTGTTTCGTGGAAGAAGGAAAACGTTGAGAGTAAGGAGTGACGTCCGACCGCCCACATCTTACCATCAGTTTAAAGCAAGAAAAATGCGCCGCCATTAATTCTCATCTGTCTGAGCAGGGTGAGGGTGTGCTGAGAGAGGTTGTGCGTTTAAGCGCGTCCTGAAACCTTTTCAACCTCTTCAACATCTCTTCAATTTTTAACATTTAAAATTTAAACCATCTCAACTACAGTTTTTCACATTTTTTGATTCTAAAAATATATATTTATGAATTTTGGTTATTTTATTGATGAAAGAATTGTATTGTTCCATTTCATTGATAAAATCTTATCCGCATGCGATAATACCACACCAAAAAAGAAAAAAACGCAAAGAATAAAAAACACTCGGCGAAAAGGGAAAAATACGCCGGACGTGTATAAGCAGGTTTCTGATTGACGTAATCTTAAATACCAGCATTATACACGCTTCATTTCAATTAAATATGTTTTCCGCTGAATATTTGCCCCAACTCAAGGAAGTCTTTCATTTACGTACGCATAAAAAGATAAAAATATAATTAAAAACGTAATATCAAACGAGTATTCTTGTTTCAAAAAATATTTAAATAAAGTGAAATGGTCTGTGGCGTCCTGCCTGCGAGGTGTCAGTTCGCTTTGTATTTCAGCCATCTCTCATGCGCACAAAGCAACTGATGAAACGTTTTTTATTGCCTGCTCTCCTTTTTTCCGCTTTCATTTGCATCCGCACGATGCTAATCCGCAGCAATTACTCTCGGTTTGAATGTCTCCCTTTCATCCGTGGAGTTTTTAACTACTGCATGCTCACACACATGACTGACTCATGGTATTAAGTTGTGGTCTCGTCGCTGTTTCCTATTTGCTTCATTTGCAGCAATTGTGTGCGCGCACCTTACGGAATCACGGAATGTGCACATACGAGAATGAAAAATAATGAACGCGCAAAATGGCCGAATGTAATGAGCAGTTGGCGCCGTGTCTCTGAGTGTGAGCAATGAACGTTTCGGAGAATCTCTCGCACGGGAAGCATCATTGGCAATGGCTGAAAGCTGGAACTCGTCTGTATAATTGCCGATTGAATAAAGTGATTTACCCATTCAGAACGCATTCGATAATATCAGTAATAAGCGTTCTTTACAGGTGGCGCACAAATTTGTAAACCAATCCTATTCATGATACCTTTCAGCATAAAATATTTCTATAATTAGTTGAAGAGCCGAAGAAAAACACAAGTTTTAAAAATTTAAAGTCGGGATTTTATTCATGACTATCATGGCTATCAGCATTCTCAAGTTTTGTCTTTTCCTGGGGAAAAGTTGGTAGTTTTCGGATTTCCACAATCCACAATCTGCACCGCGGGCACAATGCAAACGTATTTTTATTTTTGTTACCACGTTTGGATCTTGAATCTTACATTCGCACGACGTCCGCGAGAAAACCGAGCTGGTTTTAAGTTGAGACAAACTTTCGGGAACTTTTTAAGGCAATAACAATATGTTTAAACCCTGGAAATTACAAAAGTCCCAAGACGCGCTTTGTTCTCGCAAACATTTTCAAATTTAATTGCTTGTTATTTATTTGTTTTTAGTTAGTTTTCCAGTTGATATCGAATTGGTCACTGGTCTATCCAGCTTGAAAACACATTATTTTCTCGGCTACCATTAAAAACTAGTAGGCTACTTCAGTTGAAGGGGTTGAAGGAGATACAATACGAAATGGCCAATTTATTTCGCAACTCCACACTCGCCCCAGCCGGTTCCGGGCTCAATGACAGAGCGCCGAAGCGACCGGCATTGAATATTGATTGTGCCCTTTAAATAATGGATACAAATGAGGCACTATAGCCGGAGTTCTAGTGTCCCACAGCTCCAACGCAGGGGAACATCTTTCCCAGCTTGCGTTAAGGACCTTTCGACTCTGCTATACAAGTATGGATGTGCGTATATATTACAGGGTGCAGAAAACAGAAGGAAAGAAGCAAATAAATAAGAATCAAATCAATGCCTTCAACAATTCCAACAGTTTTATCGATGTTGTTCAGTTTTATTACTTAAAGACTTTATAAAATGCCAGGAATTCTAAAATCATTAAATATAGCCAATAACTTCGCTTTATTAATTCCCAAAAGGTTGGAACATTTATTTATCGACGCTTCTTGACACGCAGACGAATTCCACTTTGACGTCCAGGGTTGACGAAGGTTCCATTCTGCCATTGACCATGAAGATTAATTACGCTGCCTGATCTAATTATATTTCAACACACAATGGTGGCGTTAGAACACAATCAAGCGAGAATTTGATTACGAAACTTTCCATTATTATTTTATTAGCATTATTATTATTATTATTCATTAAAATAATTGCGTTTCATCTTGTTACAGATAACACAATGAACGAAAGTGTGTAATGCTCATCAAAATGGCAGTCGTGCTGCGCATGCGCGTCCGCCTTAGGACTGTCCTCCTGCTTACGGTGCTCGTAACCTGTGTGAAGAGTTATGTCTTCTCGAAGAACGCCAAAATTAGTACACGCATCGTCCAAACGCGTTATGGTCGCCTGCAAGGATTGATCGTACCAATGGATCAACATCGATATCTGAAACCCATCGAAGTGTTTCTGGGTGTACCATACGCGACACCTCCAATTATGTCCAACCGGTTTAGCCCTACCAGAGCACCTAGTCCATGGGACGGTGTACGCATCTCAGACAAATTGGGACCTGTATGTCCCCAGAAATTACCAGACGTGGCTAATGAAACAGCCGCCTTGGAAAAAATGCCTAAAGGAAGATTAGAATATCTGAAAAGATTGCTTCCATATTTGAAGAATCAAAGTGAAGATTGTCTTTACCTAAATATTTATGCTCCAGCACAAGGTAATATTTCATACGTTGTATTTGTTTTTTTTTTATTCGGGTACTATTTTTGTTTACTTGATTCAATCTGATTCGTTGGTGTCCAATTGTCTTCTCGTCTCGTTTCGTCTGCAGCTCTAAAGAAACGTAAGCCTGTTCTTTGGCCTGAACGAAAAGACATTTACTGAAAATCGAACAAATAAAACGATGTGCGCCTGCATGTGTGTGTGTATTCAAACTACTTACGCTACGCTTTTCTTTTTATTTCCAAATTGACGTCGAGGACGTAACAAGATTGCTTTGCGCGTCGCGTCGCCTCGGCTAGACGCTAAAACCACGATAAAATTTTAAATTACCTACAAACAAAAACGAGGAAAGAAAAAAACCAAACACGAAAAAAAAAACGCACTCGGCTAAAAGCAGCAATTACTTAATTATCCATAATAAGGACTTTCATTACTCATCACCAATCCACAAAAATTCTGAGTATGCAATTAATTTTCTTCAATAGACGCAGTTTTGTAAAGGGTTTTTTAAGGTAATGATGGTGGAATCAATTCGAGGGTAGTTTTTTCTCCATTTTCCACCTCAATCTTCTGGTTGGTGCTTGTGGTGAGTAAGTGATTTTGCGATAATGAACGGTTTAGAATTGCGTCTGGGGAGACGTGCCAGTTATCCAGTTATTTCAACGATTCGACGATTTCGTCCGACCTCGATGTGAGTGAAATCAATGGCTGAACGAGCGGTGGCGAACGCCGCAGACCGACTGGAGGCGGGAATAGGGTCATATTATATGAAAATTGCGCCGATTTGTAAAGGTTTAAGTAAACGTTAAAATAATGCTTTGATTTGATGAGGCGAAATTATTTCTTTTATTGCTCAATCATCAATAGCCGTAAAAATATATCAAAAATACAAGTTTTTGAATTCGAAATTCAGAATTCTGAGGCAAGCATGTAATTTCGAATTGCTTAGGTCTTGTAGTTCTGGACCTAGGCCAAGCGGAGTAAAATTCGAAACTCATTTAACTATCCGCCCGCAGTTTCACTCACACTATCTCGCGATGTTCTAGTAGAATCCTTGTGTGACGTTCGATTCTATTCTACATGCGCATGCACAAGCTCTCTGGATAACTTCGATTACATTACAACGCAGAATATCGCCGAATACTTTATTACGTTCGACTTGTGTGCCCGAGAAGTTTCTTCGTGCCAACAGTGCAGCGCAGCAAACAAAACAAAACAGAGAAGCGTGCGCAAACACAGCGCCAAACTGGAAAATCAGAGACAAAGTAAAACAGTAGACCTTGGATTTAAAAATCGTAGATACGAAAGTTAAATACACAATGTACCGCATATAAAATGTCGATAAAACAAACTGGATTAAGATAGCGTTAGTAGCGCACATAAATGTATTATACGTATTTTATTGACTGTATCCGAATGTATGGTTGGTTGCCTATAGTTATTATATCCTGCGACGCGTTTTATATGGACTTTTTTACGTCTAGCATCTAACAAGACATTTTGCGAAAATTAAAATGTCTAAAAGTTGAAGTTTTGAAGTCTTGACGGCTTAAATTGCGCGGAGAGAGTAAAATGTTGAAGTGAGAACGTGTGCATACATTTTAGAATACCTACTACTGGGCTATCAAGAAACTCATACAATGCATTTAGTCAAAAAATAAATATCAAAAATTATATTAATCAAAACATGCATATATTAATAAAATTAATACTTTAAAATTTGATTTAAAGATGATTAAATTAAAGAGAAATATTTTTGTGGTTTCCTCTCTTTGAACTCAGTGTATGTTAGTGTCAAGTTACTTGTTTCAACATTCTGAGCACTAAGAAGTCGATGCTGGTGCGCTTCCTGCTCACGCTCCCCAAGACCTAACATGCATAATCTAAATTAATTCCGCAAATTCCGCATTAAGTTTCATCCTTCTTTCTCTCGTCGCTCGCACCGCGCACATGTAGAATATCTGGTGCACGTACTGCGAACGAAGGTATCTTACCTTTCCAGGTTATTATTACATCATATTTAAGGCAAAATTTAATAAATGTTAACTTTATGCTTCTTATATCTGTGGGATAATGATTAAATTAAATTTATTAAAAGAATGAAAGGAAATTTTTTGTGCTGTGGTTAAAGTAACAATAATATGCAACAGAAGTTTTGTATGTTGGGTTGCCTAAAATTTATGTTTTGACGCGTTTTCTTTTAGTAGCCAAGACAATCCAGTTTTTTTTTTCTTTCGAAAAACTGTCCTACAAGTATTGATATTTTATGGAAAGCAGTAAAGTTCGATATATTGTGGGCTAGTATATATTTTTAAGGTATTTTGTGCGGTGTGGTCGATTTATTCCCGTTCGAAGCCGTTACTCTTCAAATGTGCGTTGCGCGTCGCTCCGCCATTTCGGTGGTTCCACGCTCGTTCGGTCCTGGCACTGCGACCGTTTTGGATAATTGCCCTCGCAATTGCAATTACTCTTATCGCTTTTATGGAATATTTCGTCCGGCCACGCACACCTACTCCAAACTCGTTTACGTCGGCGTGTGGACATTAAAAAATTCAGCAGGCCCAGAGAGGCTGGACGACCGTGTCCAATTACAAGCACCCGTTCGATAAATAACAATTTAAATGTACCAACAACACATGGACTACTCCAACAGGGTAAATTTCGAATCCATTTTAGTGAATTTTTATTTTAAACTTAGGTGCATAGAATTTGAATACTGCACTTTTATCCATTCGGGGTTTGCCATGTCAGTGACAGTTATGTTGGAATGTACAAAGAAATATTTGCCGAGAGCAGGGCACGCCGGAAAAAGAAAACAAGTTTTCAAGAAAAGAAGAAAATGATATTTATGTTGGTTTTAAGGAATTTATGTTGGCAAAGTTTACGCATTACGTCTGTTCGCCCCGCGTCCAGCAAGACCACCGTCATAACTAAGCAGTGCGACGACTCCGCAAAAGCGGAGTGAATGCTGGAAAAAAAAGGAACCCGGAAGAACACGAACGCGCTGGAAACACTGCATGCGAATGCGGAAAGTCTTCGGCACTCGCGCAAATATGAAAACTTTGTTTGGCGGCGACGCCACGCCGAAACCGGAAAATACCGCATAAAATCCTTCATAATTAAAGCGACCCCCTCGGCGCCGAAATGCTACGCGCGGAAAAAAACCATTCGTTTTGTCGAGTTAACCCGCCAAGAGAAATCCGTGTTAAAGAAATGGAAAAAAGGCATGTCAAGAGGCAGGAAACATTAGGGAACACAAATGTATCTATTTTATAATGTTTTTCATAGACAAATTGCATTATTATTAATATATGCATAACATACAATAGCATGTTTATATTTGGTATTGTTGTTTGTTGTGAACATACTCCTACTAAGCATTATACGTTAATTTAATGCAATTTAGTACATCTTAGCGCCACCTTGTCTCAAACTATCAAGTTATGTGCCTGGTTTCGTGCGAATACAAGTTTTACATCTTTGATAGCAATGCTGACCATCAGACTAGTCCTTAAGATAAATTCGTTTTGTGTCAATGTTAAGTTTCGTTTGTTACTTGAATTGTGCACGACTACACCACAAATGGCAAGACGGACGAACGTATCGCCGGTTACCTCAATGATAAAAACAACCTTTTACTGATGTAAACAAAGTTGGCGTGTTGAGAAGTCACTAGATTTAATTTAATAAAAATAGTGCATCTTAGCGTCATCTAAGTAAAAGAAAAAGTATTATATTTACATGTACACAGTACCATCACATCAGGATGTGTGTGTGGTGTCTACAATATTTTATAGCATCCCAAGGTGGCGCTAAAATTCACTTATTTGTATTAAATCAGAAAATGATAATATTTATCGTTTGAATATTGGGTTTATACTCGTGTAATATTTACGAACTTGTGAGATCATGTGTCTCCATGCATAATTCCTCGAAAAAGCAAAATAACATGACAGAAATAAAAGATTAATAAATCAGATAAATAAGACAAATTGATGATTAAATAATTAATTAATTGTTTGGTTTATTTGAAATTAATAAACTAAAATCATGATTGTAAATGTAAAAATTATAAGGATTGAATCTCAGACGCATATTTTTATTTGAATGAATGATCTAATTTACGTTGGTGTTCTTCACCGTTTCGATTGTTAGTCGTTCAGAACGTAAACAAACACAACTTTCTGATATACAAAACAAGTATATCTCTATCGCAGTTCTCATTCTGTATTTTAGATCGTTCAGAGATGTCGCTCGGATGCACTATTTGAATTAAATAAAATCAGGTGATTCTTCAACACAATGTTGTTCATGTCGGTGCATTGGTGGTTTTATATTCGCGATAGCCAGCGATACTTTCACCGTCGTGTGATATGATGTGTATTCGTACATATTTCAACTATCAACCAAACTAAACATTAAATTCAAGAATTATTTTGGTGACCCGATGAATATTCGTTTAATAATTTGAATTTTAATAAATACCTGAATAAATTAATTGGACACATTTATTTATAATGTTTGGCTACGTATGAAAAATTAAGTAAAAATATTATCAGTATAATGTTACTTAAAGAAAAGAAATCAAATAAAATCGTGCTGACATACTCAAATAAGTAAATGAAATAACAGACGAAATTTAAAAATTGATTTAGAAGACTGACTAGAGATTTTATTATTATTTTTTTGATTTGGAATCAATAAATAAAAATCAAAAACGTAAATGTAAAATTTATAGAGATTGCATTTCTTACAAGTAGGTACGTATATCATTCAAGAAACTCATATTTATATATTGAAGGAATGATTTTATTTACGTTGGTGTTCCTCACCGATCCGATTGTTCGTCGTTCACAACGTAAACAAACACAAATTACTGATAAACAAAACAAGTATATCTCCATCGCAGTTCTCATACTGTCTTTTAGATCGTTCAAAGATGTCGCTCGGATGCACTATTTCTATTAAATAAAATCAGGTGTTTCCTCAACACAA